GAAGCGGACCCCCAGATGAGCCGCCACCCGGTCGAAACCCCAAAGAACCGGCGAAACAGTTCCTCCGCATCCACACTCCCAAAGGGGAAATTAGCAGCGCTGGGGCCATTTTGCCCCGCAGCAGACGCCTTCCCCAGCTGATCGTAGTGCCTACGCTTGGTGGGGTCGCTGAGTATTTCGTAAGCCTCGGCCACCTTCTTAAACTTCTCAGCCGCCCTCGCGTCGCCCCCATTCTTGTCGGGGTGGTACTTCAACGCCAAACGACGGTACGCGGCCCTTATCTCATCCGTCGCTGCGGAGGGAAGAATACCCAGCTCGTCGTACAGCGAGGTATCCACCACCATGCAGCGTACGGCCACCGATCACACGCGGTAGAACAGTGTGTCCCCTTCTTTCACAAACAGCAGGAGCGGAAAAAACAAAAACAACAACAACAAGAAAAAGAGATAAAAAAGACATCGACGGCGGTGCCAGCACGCTGCCACGCATGCAGGGAAGCGCGGAGGCCGTCCACACAATCACAGGCTCCTGTCGCACAAATCACATAAAAAACTGCGGTAAACAAAACAAACAAACAACAAAAAATAGACCAATAGAAAGAAAAAACACACCTCGGTGCAGTCCACAGATTGCTGCAGTATTTATTCAACCGCCTGTGGCGCAGTGATCGACAACCCCCCTCGCATGTCGCACAACCACCGCCGTTGACACACCACGGCAACGGCACCACAAACAGCAGAAACCTCAACAAAAACAAAACACAAAAATAAAAGACGCTCAACAACACTGATAAGTCGGTGAAACGAAATAAACACGCGCCTGGCTGGGACCGCGCCTCCTACTTCCCAGAAGGTGGAAGCAGAACCCAGCGGAGAACCCCAGTTTATTTCCGTGCACCCGGCATTCCACACACAATAAAAATAATAAAAAAAAGAAAAGAGCACAATCTATCCAACGGCCCCACACAATCAATTTTTTTTTTGAGGCATCTATGCTAAACGGACTCCTTGTGAGCCCACGCAGTCGCAGTCTTTGTTGTTTAGTGCACCCCCTTTCCTTCAACCGCAGGCAACTCCTCCGCGTGAGAGGCGCCAGAGGCGGAAAAGAGGAATGACAGTCGGAAAAGGAGCCAATAAAGAACGGCGCTCGCCACCTCCCAACACGCGGCATATGCAGAAGCAACAAAAACAACAAAGCAACACGGTCGCCAAACAAGCCCCGCTCTCGACTCCCCCTCTTCCCCATTTTTGTAGCACACATTCTTCCCACAATACTCTACAAAATAACAACAATAAACGCGCGCAAAAAAGGAAAAAGCAGAAACAAAAAAAAAGGGTCCGCGGCCGCACGCATCTCCATGCATGCATATGTCTACCTACACATGGGGGTGTTGATCTCACCAAAAAAACAACAACAACTATCAAATCAGAAAGACGCCAAGAACGTCATCTCCCCATGATGCCTCCACCCAGCTGAATGGCGCAAGGGACACACAAGGCAATGAAGGATGCCGTTCTTGTTCCCGCGCATGCGCTCACCTTTCCGCCAGTCTTTTCGGTGTGCGAGGTGGGGACGTGGCAGAGGGCGGAGGTAAAGTCGCGCTGTCCCCGGAGGCTCGGTGTGGATCCAGAGGCCCGTGCAACAAAGAAATACGTCCAAGGCAAAGCCAACAGGGAAGGAACGACAAAACACTCCAGCCCAAACCAAATTCCCATCGCTAACCGTGCCGTTCGAGATGCGCTTCTCGCGGTCGCGCTGGTGCTTCTCCGCCGTAACCTGCCAAGGGGGAAGATCGTTTTGGGCTTTCGAGCCAAGAGATCGCCCACTGCGTGGTGGGAAGCGGGGGGATCGGAGAGAAAGGGGGAAAAAGGCAAATAAAAGCTCTTCGCCCAAATGCCCTCCCCCAAAAAAGCACACACGCACAGTACACACCAAAAAACAAAAACGCACATCAGTGCGGACCCAATTAATAACAAAAACAAACAAACAAAAACGAATGCATCATGGCGGCACTCTTGCTGTTGCCCCGACACCTGCCCCCACCAGCATTTTCACTAAAGACCGCATAAAATACTGTGCTAAAATTCAATGACCACTGAGAGGGATGCGCGCGAGGTGCAGGGCCCTTGCCCGTGTGTCGGTTTCCCGTGCACACACACACACACATGCATTACCTCGCTTTTGCGTCTCCCCATGCAGTGGCAGACATAATCCTTATCTCCGTTGCATTTTTATAAAATCAAAGCCTCCGTCCCCGTTTTTTTTTCCACCATTATTTATCCTTCTATAATTTTGAAAAATACCATCAACGCCCTCATTTATTACGTGTAAATATATATAAAAAACAATGTCAGTAGAAAAAAACCTACTTTATTTCAATTAATAATCCGTTTGGAGAAAATCAAGATATAAATAAATATATATATAGAGCGGCGCCCAGCCTACCCGCGCAAGGTCTGGACAAGAATGCTCAGCGCCGAACCGATTGTGCCGCCGATAAGAATGGAGATGCCAAACATTGTGCCAGCCACAAAGCGCTGGCCGCTGGTTTCCAGATTCCTTGTCAGGGGCCCCAGTGTGATGGCGAGGGCCCCAATGTAGCCGTTGCTCAGGCCGAAAATCACCATCATGACGTAGTTGTAAGCATGAGATGGGATGTAGTGGTACGACGCCAGGATGAGAAGCGGGACAAACACGACACGGGAAAAAGACCCCACCAGCACCACCCACCGTGGGGGCCAGAGGCACTTCAGAGAAGGAGAAAAGCGGCCACACACATCGCAAACATTGAAGATACAGACGGCAACCGTGCCGTACCAGTAGTCGTCGGGATCCACGGAGACCACAATCGTTGGGAAGAGAAAGAGCGTAATGAAGAAATTGAAGCCGCAGGCACTGAGCATCGGGTACACGCACTTCAAGACAAAGATGACGTTCGTATTCACAAGTCGCCCAGAATCCGCGTTGTCATCGCCGCCGTTCGTCGCCTTCGGTGCGCTCTTTTCGTTCGCTTTGGAAGCCGCCTCTGTCTCACTTTCCGCCGCTTGATCTGGGTTATTGCTCGCAGGGCTGGACGTGCCTCCGCTTAGAGCATTTATGTAACGCTGAGCAAACGGGACCCAGTGCAGCCCAACCACCATGATGAATGTGATGCCGTGAATGCCCGCCATCAACCCGTAGTAAATCTTGGATTGGGTGCGAATCCCGCTGTAGTCTTGAGGAAGAGACGCCTTCACAATGAGCTGCAGAATGGACGCCAACGCTCCGGCCACTCCCACGCCACCCATCAAGGCCGTATTGAAGCGAGAGGGAAACACACCAAACAAGCCGTACGCCGTCGACTCAAACACCGATTTCCCCAACGCCGAGCTGAAGCTCGCACACACAATCGCGCTGATCGCACCCGCCTCCGTTGAGCCCGCCGCTGGCACCGACATCAGGATAATGATCTCCAGCCAAAACATGCTCAACGCCGACAGCATGCGCAGACGTATTGGGATACGGCGGAATGCCTCGCTGAGCGTCAGGGGCTCCACGATCAGAGCCACGAGCATAATGAGCATCGAGTAGTACGTCAACGCATTGTCCCAAAAATTCTTGTGCTTTGCCACCGCATTGGGGTCATGCATCACGTATTGATAGTAATTCATGATGTACAAGGGTGCAGAAAATATGGCGTTGATGGGTAGCAGCATGGAGAGACCACACATGATGGCGGCCGCATAGGAGTACGCCTCCCCCCAGAATTCGAAGCCCAGTCCCATTGTTGCGACGCCTCTTTTTGAAAAATTATTCAGATTAGCGCAGGACTATCGACCAGGGCAGGAAAAGAGAAAAGAAAAAGAAAAAAAACTCAGGACAAGCACGGAAACGTCAACACCCCACGCATGGTGGACGCCACGCCTGCCTCCTTTCTTCCTGCGGGACACGCGTGCTGTGAGGGGGGCAAAAACACATGCAGAAAAAGAAGAATAGAGGGCAAAAGATAAAAACAACAAAAACAATTACATCTCACGTATAATTCCCCAGAATGTCGCGTAATGTTTGATTCGTCTGTGACAATTTGGTAATATCCCTGTGCTTCTCGTTCACTTTCCCTTTTTCTTCTCCCTCTTGTATGTGTGTGTATGTGTGTTTCAAAGACCGAAAACTTATTTTTTGTTGGTAGGCTTCAAAATACCCTCCTCTACCATAGCCGGCACCTCAACGGAAAGCCACGGACCTAATCCGAGAGCAAGCGCGTGGCTGATGCCAAAGTAAGGGACATTCCGTGCCCATAAGGGGAAAAAGTGGGTTGTCATGCAGATTTTACCCCCGCGGTACATTTTAACAGTTTTGCCCTCCAGTTCGGGCAGGGCAATTTCTGGTGGGGCTTGCGGATACGTGACGGCGAGGTCAAAGTTTACCTTAAACTCGTACTTCTCGTTTTTGTAGTAAGCCCAGCAGGTGCCGTACCAGCGTGTGCCGGCCTCATTGCTCTCTAGCTGGAACCAGTGGTTGTCACTTGCCTTGTTGTTCTCCACGTACTTGATAAGGGACATGTATTCCTCCTTCAGACGTTGTGTCCATTTCTCATTGTCACGTGGGCCGGCCTTTGTCTTGAGCAGCGGGATGCGGGAGACACTCTCCTTCACAGCGGGCTCCATTTATTGTACGTTCCTTTTTTCTTCTTTTCCGCCAACCGCACTCCCCCTTTTCTCCGTCTCCTGCACGTCCGTGTGTGAACCCCCCAAGTGGCTTTGCGCCTCCACACACCACCGACGCGAAAAGCAAAACATTAAATAAGAGTAAAGAAGGAAAAAAGAGAAAAAAAAGGGAGGAAACCAAAAAGAATACACGCTGGGAAATAAACAGGCGACTTTCTCTTCAGGCATAGCCACGCGCCACACATAAACGACTGAAAAAAAAAAAAACATATGGGCAAGGCAGGGAACAAAAAAAGGGAATTATAACGGCAGTCGCGTCACGACCACACACACACACACAACGAGAGAGAGAGAGAGAATGAGATCTCGTTCCATGCCTCCCTCCCTCCTTCCCCTCCCTCTCTACCCACGAGCGTCAGTCATTCATCCAGGTGTTTACTCCTAAATTCCCTCTTGCCATTCCACAACCACCGGGAGGTGGAAGATGAAGAAAACAGAGACACACACACACACACACAGTAAAAAAAAAAGGAAAACAAACAAACATCGTGTCGTCAAACAAGCAAATAAGCAAAAAGCAACGAGGAATACAATACGAGGGGGTAAAAACTTACAGCAAACAAACAAAACAACCAAAGAAGCCGCTTGAAATAATATAAATGTAAATTTATATAATAATAATAATAATAATAATTATTATTATTATTATTGTTGTGATTATATATTTTTTGTGATACGTGTAAGTGTGCGTGTAAGTGCGATGGTTCTGGAAGATTATTATTATTTTTTTTAAATCTTTCCTTCACATTTCCAATATTTACACACGCACACACACACACACGAAAAAAACAATTTTTTGAGATTTGTATAATGATATCGTTTGTTAAAGTAAAACAATGGCCCACCGTTGACGCTCTGCAAAGTTTTCAGGTACTGTGATCCGTGGTCGTCAAAATATATCCATCCCTCTTTTCCTCCTATTCGTAAGTGGCACCCCATCCTCCCCTCCCTCATCCATCCATCCATCCATTCATTCTCCTCATGTGTCATTCCTATCAAATGAAGTGCCTTAACTTGAACCACACACCAAGGCCTCCCCCCACTGCTACCATCATTGCGATGCAGTACATATGGCCATATTCATCTTCTAAAAGTGGCAGGTGCTCAAAATTCATGCCATAAATGGAGGCAACGAAGCTCAATGGAATAAAAAAGGCGCTAAATATCGTCAACACCCGCATGAGTTCATTGAGTTGAAAGGAGGAAAGTTGAAAAAGAAGCTGCAACCCCGACTCAGCATTGTTGTGCAGCTCTTCTGACAAGGATCTTACATGGGCAATATCTTGCTGTACATCTTGAAATTGTACATCGTTTGGCATGATAGAAAGGGCACCACACAATTGACTATAGGCTTCGCCCGTCAGTACTAATACTCGCGCATACACGGATGCTCGACGCTTGATGTGATACATCTCGCGTGCCAGCGTGGATCGTTGACGTTTCGAAGAGAAGAGACTTCCTTCGTAGTTATCAAACTCCACAATGCAGCACGTGAGGGCGGTGTTAAACGTGTCCACAGATTCCTTTACAAGAAGATTCAAAAGAAACGTTTTACCCTGTATTCCATGCTCCTTCATTAAGTTCAACCAGTTCCATTTTATATTTTCCACAAATTCACAATGCGTACGGTGAATCGTCATCACCCGTGTGTCTGTCACAAGAATGGTGAGACGATTCGTAAGCTCTTGAAAGCCGTCCATGCAGGCCTTCGAAACGTCTTCGGCGTAGCGGACAACAAGGCAATGACACCCATCCATTACAGTTGTCTGTGGCAAAAGCATCGGTTCCAGTGCATCGCTGACAAGCGTTTCATGCGTACCGAGGTCAATCAACACTTGGGAGAGGGCACCCCGGTACTCGTCAAGGGAAGCCGTCGGGTGCGCTGAGATGTCAACCCAGTTCCACGCATTGTCCGGCCCGGGAAGAAACGATATGAGCACTTTGGGTGATATACGGCGAAGGCCAACCGCCTCTTTTGTTGCCTCGGATGCGGCAGCGGAAAAACTAGTGCGGAGCCCATCGCTATCCATTCCAGCCTTTGTGAAGGCGCTGCCCAATGCCGTGGACAAAAAGGCCTTGATACTCTGGTTGCGTCGCTCTTGATAATCGCGGAAGGCAGAAGGAAGATCATCATCCAACGAGGTGCTCGAAAACGGTGCCGCATTTCCTCGGGGAGTAGTAATATTCGTGGCGGGAGCCTTTTTCGTCGCTCCTTGCACAACGTGTGTACGCTCAATCTTGTCTTCTTGCCGCCAAGCCAAATTATACCCTGCGGGTTGCATTGGACGCGATTCCGTTGATAAAGACGGCAGCACGGTCGTATTCTTCGGCGATGCAGAGGATGTTAATGTCCTTTTTTCTCCTCTGCTTGACGACACAGCCGTCTTATCTGCGGAAGTCTCGACTCCTTCCCGGTGCGCCTCCTCTGCTGTGAAGCCGGGGAAGAACCACCGTGACACGCGTCGCCCCGGCGGTGGGATGCGCGGCGGTGCTGCGAGACCCCCGTTGACAGACGACGATGATGCTGAAAAAAAATTGGAAGAGGAACCGGGATTATCCGCAGGAGTCCTGGAGACCCAGTCTGGTTGACATGATGAGACTTTGCTCCCCTCCGTAATTGTATAAGTGGAGGCCATAGTTGTGTAAAGTGGATGATTCCTCCAGCCAGATGAAACTACTCGAATGACTCTGCCCCGTCTAACAGACATGTGAAAAAGTGTCTCGTTTAATAAAAAACGGCACCACACAACTTTTGATGATATCAACATTTAAATGGCTCTAAAAAACAGTTCTGAACTTCCCACATGTATGTATGTATGTATACATGCGTGCGGAGTTATATCAAAAATAATGACGGTACGAGAAGAGAAATAATAAAAAATAAAATAAAAAATAAACAACAACTCATACATGTGCATAGATTCTGCAAAGAATTATATGGTAGTTTACATACATGTATAATATTATACATATATGTAAAAAAAAAGGGTTGAGCAAATTACACATGTCATCGTTTTACACGCGTGGATACAAACTTTATGCGTGTGTCTTCACTCGCCCTCTCATTCTGTTTCCCTCGCGGAGGCATTGATGCCTTCAACAAAACACACACACACACACACACACACACACACACAGCCGCAACATTACCCCCTCAACCAGTCTAACCACCGATAGGGTGTCAACACACATACACGCAAAGACTTGTCCAAAAACAGCCAAAGGAAGATTACAAGAAACTCTGCAGGCCCTCAGATAACTGAAATAAAAGGTTACCTGCTTTTTCTCTAGCTCCCTTCTCCATGCTTATCCTACGCACCCTTACCCGATAATGGTGCGACCACAGCCTTCTCCAGCGCCTCATCCAAGTTGCCCCGGTTGGTGCTGTAGAGATCATCCATCTTGGGCGACATGGGGCGGTAGAAAAACTTTACGGGCTCCGGTAAAATATCGTTTTCTTTTCTCATGATTTTGTCCACGTCAAGCTTCACACGTTCGTACCCGTGATCCCGCCAGACAGGCTCCACACGCACCATGTACTCACACAATCGCGCCGCCACAATTTCAGCCACGAGCGACTTCAGGCAGATTTCACCAAGAAAAATCAAGTGCTGTGGAAACATGTGACCCGCAGGGTGCTCTTCGTCTGGCAGTGTCAACCAGCGTAACTGACCCAAAAGTTGCCGAACAAAGACAGCCTTCCTTGAGAATGCTTCCTCTTCCATATCGGCAGCGCTACGGCCACCAGTCCCTACTGCCATGTGTCGCTGTGGTTGTGGTTGTGGTGATTGTTGTGGTTTTTCCATCGCTTGTTGAGCGAAGCCATGTGTGGCGGAAGAATGTACCGCAATGCCTCCCAGGCCTAATGCAGCAGGGGAGCTTGGCTTGTAATCCGCCTTCAACGCTACTTTATCCAGTGTGTAAAAGCCGCATAAATCATAGACGGTCTCCATGTTGTACGCACAAGTTACAAAGTCCACCAGGTTTGAATAGTCTTGAATATGCCCATTGGGGTATATGCGCATGAAGGGGCCAAGGATGTATCGGTGCAGCACCAAAGCCCCCTGGTGATCCATCCCACGGAGGCCACCTTGCATGCGGTACAAGTATGTATCTCGTGGCTCTCCAAAGTGAAGCATCTTTGCCTCCTCTAATGCCACAAGCATCGCATAAAGCTCATTGCGGTGTTCCCGCTCATACCCGCCGTAGTACTTCTGGTAAGCTTCTACAGAGAGACCCAATTCTTCCAAGAAGACGGCTAGAATTTCCTCTGGATTCCATCGGCGTGGAAACTCCACCATCTGCGTGTAGTGCATATCCATCAAAGCGTGGTCTTTTCGCCCGTGGTGATTCACCCAGAGGGCCACCGGCTCCTTGCAGAGATCACACCACTCCGGGTTGCGAAACACCCAGTTGCGTTTCTGCACGAATCCGTTAACTATCGACCAGATGGGAACGTGGCCCCCTTCCGTTGCGTAGGGCGAAGGAATGTTGGCAGAACCAACGGGTGGGTTTTGTACGACTTGTTGCAGTCGGCGCAGTGTTCTCCGATGCATCCAGAAAGAAATTTATTTCTTTAAATTCCCCACTCCTTTCGTGTTTTTATTATTTTTCTGCGCTTCTTTCACTTCCTCCCCTCCCCCCCGCGCGCACGCCTCGTTAAACACCGCCCCGCCAACCCGCCCGAAATGCGTTTCCCCACCTTATTTTGTGTGTGACAGTAACACATCGACCCACCGAAAAGAAATTTCATTCCAAAACATCACAAAAGAAAAGAAAAAGAATGAGAAAAAAAAACCAGCTGTGAACATAACAGTAAATAACGCTAAAGCCAACTGCGAGTGGAAGGAGGCAGTGATAAAAAAAAAAAAAAAAAAAAAAGAAGTAGGGGAGGAAAAAGGCATCCATCATCACTGTTTGCACCACACACAAACCACATTTCAACCTGCTTCGTCCCGGTTGGACTGTCACGCAAAATCCCGTTCATTCCCTCCGTGCCGGGCTCGGCTCTCCAAAGTCAAGCATGTACAAATATACATGTATGTGTGTATATTTCATAAAGGAGAAAGAAGGGACTGTCTCTCTGTGTGTTTGTGTAGATGAAAAATGATAGGAGTGTGGGAACAATTTACATCCAATGCAACATGTTTCTTTCAGGATTCCATAGCCCGGAGAACTTTGATCATACAATTTCTTTTTCGCTTCTCCAGTGCTCTTCGTCGTTTTAGCACAATTCGCCAGCGTCGTTGAATTAAGGTTGCGCAGATATCTACATACCGGTCTGTCAGACAGTTCACACTGTCACGACACCGTAAAAATGACTGTAATAAAGTCACCACCTTCAATCTCCTGCGACGTGCCTCGTCATCCAAAGCAAAACTCATGGGATGGCGACGGTAAATACCCTCCATAATCACCCTAGCCACATTTGGTGGGACTGGCTGCTCCTCTGAATAAATGGTTGCACTCAACGCTGGAAGAGACAACAAAAAATCCCCCCCGCAATTGCAAGTTTGCGAACCGGAAAACGCAACGGAACTGCCATCGATGAGTTCAGCTCGACGGTGTTGAATCGAGTTCCGTTCCTCGGCTTTGTGCCGTTGCATAGAAAACCAGTACCGAATCCGGTACCCACGCGCACAGCGTTGAATCATTGAAACGGCATCCACCTTCACGCGTTGCCGTTGCTGAATTTCCTCCTCTTTTTGCAGGCGCAGCTCCTCCTCCATAAGGCGTTGCAGCCCTTCTGCCTCTTGGCGTTCTCGCAGTATTCGCTGCAACTCGGAGAGCTTTACGTGATGAAGCGGTGTCATAAAGTCACCCAAACATCGGGCATCTTCCATACGGGATTCCCAAGCGGCAACCACATCACCCAACACACGCTCCGGCGGAAGCGGGAAAACACTCAAAAAAAACGACAGACTCTGTGAGACGTTGTTATCATTCGTCGTCTCATTGCTGTCTAACGGCTGACGTGCGACAGTGTCATGAAAATTTGGATAGCCCCCTTTTAGGCCAAACGCTTCCATAAAGTCCAATTTCCCAGTCACGTAATTCATGTAAGTGCGTGCTTCCCTTTCCCATCGCTTCAACACTTGTTGAAAATGCTCACGAAAAGCTCGCAAAATCACTCGACATGCAATATTTTTCTGAATGCGACGCAACCGCGCTGAGCGGGTCGCAGATTGTGTAAAAAGATTGGTGTCTGGTATAGAGTAGAGTTTGTATTCCGATGACAAAGTTGGAACGGCGGCCATTCGCGTCAAGCGCCAATGATTCGACCAATCATTGAATTCCCCACCTGATAAAAAGGAAGCGCTGTTCTTTTTTTCCGTCAGTAAAGAGTTGCTAAATGAAGCACCGCGCTGTCTCATGGTACTTAGACCAAGGTTATTTCCCGCACCGTCGGAACCCGCATCGTCGGAGGAAATGACCTCATGTGCAATCCGCTGGTCCAACTGGTAGCCAAGGCGCAAAAGAATTGTCACCATCTGCCGACGTGCTAACCATCCACGAACAAACCGTTGAATTGCAACGACAGATTTTACACGTAGAGCCATGCTGCGAAAATGTTCTTCCAAGGCGGCAGCGCGACGTTGCCGCTCACGTCTGGCCAAGAAACATCGAAAAGCACACTGCACTCGAACGGTTGCCAAAATAAGTGAAAGATTCATCTCCGTTGCTCCAGCGTCACTAAGCACAAAGCTCATCCAACGATAAGGTTCCTCAATAAGAAGAGGCTTCTGAATGGTTTTTTCCCTCTCATCCTTGTCGCCAGACCGCGTGTCCAACGCGGGTTCAATACTCGTCTCCACTTGCCCCGCAACAAGATCCTTTTCAGATGTCTTTGTTGACACATTTTTTGACAAGAAATGGGACGCTTTAAAGCCATTTGCCACACCCCTGACGGGCTTTAAGGACGATGACGACCAAGACGCCGTGGCCTGTGACTGGGGTATGACGCTACCAACTTTCATGAAACGCCGCTCCTGTTCTACAAGTTTAGTGGTCCGACGAACCACCACCTCGTGTACATCAGGAAAAGCCACGTGTGTTGAGGCCTTCAATCGTGCAAGCCGCAATTCTGCCGGTGACAACAACGGAGAAACGCATTTTGTCGATGAGCAGGTAGTTATTGGGGACTCCTCGCCGAACCCCGTGTAGCCAGGACCACGGGAAACGGATTCTTCCAAAACCAGACCATCGCATGTCGCCGTACATGTTTCCTTCGGCCTGCGGTCCGCATTTTCCCATTCCTGCATACTCCCATGGACGTGTTCCCACTCATTTAGTTTTGAACTACCCCCCGTTGATGGCGCAACGCCACAACCCATCATTCTTCCCCCAGGTGGTGTTATACTTCTGACGGCCAGGGGTGCGGTTAGTAAATCGGCTGCAATGCCACCACTGGTGTTTGAAGTGCCTTTGGAGTCCAGTGTGTGGATGGTTGAAAGACCCAACTCGGATATTGAGGAACCAGCAGTCACAGACCGGTCTAAAACAGTCGCAGGTTGCCGTCGCCGAGCCTTCCACACAGCCGTGTCTTCCACCAGCACAACCTGCTCGTGGGGCTTGAAGAGGTTACCGTGATCCTTCACCTTGCGACACATTGTCCGCATGGATGCCAACAGTTCGTCATTTTTTTCCATGTAGTTTTCGTATATTTCTTCCAGTTGTCTTTTTGCGTCTTGCGAGATTTGTGGATGCAAATCGCCTAGGCAGAACGATTCCTTCTTAAGAGGCAAAAAATACGCACTTTTACTCTCCT